TTCTGGGATGCCAATTATTCTGATATTTGGGCATCTTATTGAATCCAGTATTTCTTGTATATTATCCTCATGGTTTTTTGTCATTTTTCTCTACGTTTTTGGTGGTTCTTTCTAGGTCAGAGGTTTTATCTTCTACATCAGAGATTCAATCTTCAGCATGGTCTCATCGACTTTTAATACTTTCAAGGGAGTTTTTGATTTCCTCTATTCCAGACTTTATCTCTAATAGCTCCATTTGGTTCATTTTCAGAGTGTCCATTTCTTCTTTCATATATTGGAATGACTTCCTCATCTCCTGTAGTTCGTTGTCTCTTTTCTGTTCCAACTCAAAGAATTTGTTCACCTTTATAAATGTTCGAAATTCTTTGTCTGACATTTTGGTAACATCATCCATTAGCACGAAAGATGGAGGGGAGTTACTCTGTACTTTTGATGGAGATGTATTTCCTTGTTTATTCATACCTGAGGCTCTTCTTCTACTTCTAGTCATTAGAAGATGTATTTGCTTTGAATACCTCTTGTGGGAATGTTTCTCCGAATAGGAGTAAGTGACTTTCCCTTTTGCTGCAAATTAATGTTTGCCGAAGTCTCTCTTCTGTTGTTTCTACCAATGTGGTATCAAGAGAGGTACTCTACTGAGGTGTCTGAGAAGCAGTACCTCCTTTTTCTCAGGAGGGTCAGTATAAGGAAAGATCCCAGAGAAAATTATATTACTAGGGGATTTCAGATATCGGATTATAGATCTGTCTAGTCCTTCTGGCAGGGTGGACAATGAAGAGGAGAGGGTATTAGGTGAAACAACACAAGAAACAGAGAGAGAGAGAGAGAGAGAGAGAAAGAAATAAAGAAAAAGTCGCGTGCTGTGCATTATTTCGCCGAAGGCCTGTCGCTGTGTCTGTGGCCTGCTGCTGGGGACAGGACAGGCTGTGGGAGGAGGAAGACCAGGAAATTAACAAGAGAATAAAGCTGAAAGATGCAAGGCAGAAATTAATGGCTACCTACCTAGGCTGTGGGCACTTGGGCTGGGGGTCTGCAGGTGAGGTGAGAGAGCAGGGATGTCCCTGCCTCAGGATCCCTGGCTGGCCAGAGGCCTGCCGCTGTGTCTGTGGCCTGCTGCTGGGGACAGGACAGGCTAGCAGGTGGGTGCTTGGGCTGGGGGTCTGCAGATGAGATGATGGAGCAGGGATGTCCCTGCCTCAGGATCCCTGGCTGGCCAGAGGCCTGCCGCTGTGTCTGTCTAAATAAATAATTTTTTAAAAGAAGTTATTTTTTTACATTTTAAAAATAATTATTTATTTATTTAATTCCATTTGTTAATTGTTAGGGTTTTTTATTTGTTTTTTTGTTTGTTTGGTTTTTGTTTTTTGACCACCAGAGAGAGAGAGAGAAAGAAAGGGAAAGCGAGAAAGCAAGCCACCAGGTCTGGGACTTGAACCATGGTCGGCAATGTGGGTGGGAATCAAGCGCCCTTATCCACCACACCGCCTGCTGGCCCCTATATTTTGTTTGAAAGAAACCATTCCTTTATTTTGTGGTCTTCTGATATTGCTAATTGGGATTCCTTTAATTGGCCCATAAATCAAACTCTTGACCATGCTGACTATAACTTTTTTTAAAAGAGATTTTTGCTATAGAGAACATGTGCTCAGTGGAGTAACAGAGAGAGATAGAGAGATAGAAAGCAAGAAATAACCCCCTGGGGGAAGGCCATGCCACAATCCTTTCTCCTTTGTACTCCTCTCAGGATTTTGGGTATGCATGCACATGTGCCTGGCCGTAGTTTTAAGCCACTGGGTCTGGGGCTTGAACTGTGGTTGATTGTGTGGGAGTTCAACAATGTAACCATTACACCATCTGCTGGTCCCTGACTGTAATTTTTAAATTTCTCATGATGACACAAGGTCATCATTAGAAAGGACGAAGTCCAAAGATGAGTTTACTCACCTCTCTTAGGTGGTTCTATCCTCCAATTATGAAATGGGTTTATATGGCTTACTCCAGGAGATGGACATCCTAAGCTCATCTCTGCGGAGAACAGCATAACCAGAGGCTGTCAACCAAATAACCCTCATCAGCTTGGGTCATACACACCTGAGCCATGTACCACCTTAATAATTAAGCATCTCTGATTGGCTTGAAACTTACAGGAATGGCAACCAGGCATTTAGTGAATGACAACTAATGAACTTGATGATTCTGTGGAATCAGTCTTTGGTCCTGGCTTCTCCATGGTTAGATAAGATGTTGCACTGGTCTTTTCTGTACATAGGAGCATGTCAATCCACCTTTGATATGGTCCCTACTAACTTTCTGCCTTTTTTTTTTTTAATTGCCAGAGGGCATGTGATCTCACCAGAGAGAGAAAGAAACAGGGAGAAAGCACTCCCCAGTGGAGCATGGTCATGCCACAATCTTTTTGCCTCCACTTCTGCCTCCCATCAGGATTTGGGGCATACATGTATACAAGTCTTGTGTGCTTTTCAAGCCACTGGAGCAGAAATTTGAACTGCAGTTGGCCGTGTGGAATCCAGCTCCCTTAACCAGCAGACCATGTCTTTTCTATTTTTAAAGGCCAGATGGGTTCTATCCATGTTTCATTGTTATGATCATTTACTTTCCACATTCCTTCCTTCCATGTGCACAAAGACATGATTGTTCACATACAAGTATTAACTAAATTTATCCTGTAATCCTTAAATGACAGTCATCAAGAATTAAGCTTGAGGGACCAGCAATTAGCATAATAGCTATGTTGCTGGACTCCCACGTAGTCGACCATGGTTCAAGTCCCGGATCCAGTGGCTTAAACTCACGCCGGGCACGTGTGCATGTGTGCCCAAAATCCCGAGAGGAGAACGGAGGAGAAGGGATTGTGGAGTGGCCGTCCCCCCTGGGGGGGGATTTCTCGCTTTCTGTCTCTCTCTGTCTGTCTGGCAAGTACACGCGTCCCATAGCAAAAACCTCTCAAAAAAAAAAAGAATTAAGCTTGATAAATGCTGAGATGGCCTTAATAAGAAAAGCAATCTTAGAAAACCACTGGCACTTCCTGTCCTCATTGCTTCCCAAGGGGACATGCATGCTATTATTCACATAGAATGTTGCATCTATATACGCAATGTATCATCAAATGTCATCCACCTAATTAATCAGATGAAGACACAAATCAGTACTTTAAATGATCCTGTACCTAGCTTAGGAGACTTTGAAAAAGGATGATGTGGATCAGGTTCCAGCTGACTAAAATCTTTATTAACGACATTATTCCTGATTCTTGCTATCCTTTTTGTTTGCATGTTTTATAAAGTTTGAATACAATGCACACCTTATTGGTTAATTTCTTCTCCTAAAATCATGATTTCACATTGACTAGAGACCTTCAATTATCCCTAATGGATACCTCCCAATAAAGCCAAAGACATTTCCTAATTTCTGTTTCCTAACCACCTCCTTGTGACTAAAACGGGGCTTATAAAGGCATTCACCCCTCACCCCCCTTCATAATCTCTTTCCCATCCCTCTGGGACATGATTACCTGGGAACGAGTTCTCCCAGCTCTGTGGGAGCTATAATAAGTTGTTTTGATTGGAGGTGGATCATCAATGATTTATGATGGAAAAAGATATCCTAGTAAAAGGGGTACATGTAGAGAGAAATAACAAGAAAAAATTATTTTTTCAAATGAAGTAGAGGCCCTGAAGGAAGTAGGACCTATGGACATTTCTGTGATTATCTGGGCATGTAAGTTTTGGTTACCTTCACCCTTTGACCCCATGCATCTGGAATGACTGGATAATTACACTGTGCCCCAGAAGCTAAGGTACACTCAAGATGTTACTGGACTTTGCCTTACAGACATCACACTTCCTAGATGTACTCCTTCGTTACCCTTGAATAGTCACTCGGCCCTACATTCCTTGTTAACTTCACAAGAAACCCCTCTGTAAATAATTTCAGCCACTTTGGAATGATTTATGACTTTTTTTCTATATTACCTCCTGCTTGTCTTCTCATTATTGGAACTTTCTTTTGATTCTACCCAAATCTGTGCTTTCTCAATTGTACTTCTGAAGAATTCAAAACTTTTTTTGTTGTTCACAAATTCAGAATTCAAATTGACTGACATTTCGTACAAAGGAGATGAAAAGATGTATATTTTAAGCTGACAACTTCACTCAAATTTTCTCTTAACAAAGAAAAGGGAAAAATAGGTATTTTGTAAGCAATCAGCTGATACTAATTAATAAATTATAACTCTAAACCCAAATATAAATCAAATCTCTTGATTTTCACTCTTTTTCCTCCAACATAATTCTATCTTCACCCTTCAGACATAATAAATAGATATTATTGTAGGACAATTCAAGCTGCATATTTTGGTTTAACCTACAAAACTAACATATTAAAATTTTTGAAGTTTATTCATTATTATTTATTTCTTCTGTGAGCAAGTGAGGTAGAGAGAGACAGAGATGGAGAGAGACAGAGAGTATCCCCAAGAAAGTCCTGACACCCTGATCGACACCAACCCTAGCCAGCCTGGGTGATGAGCACACCCTGTGTCTAGTTTAATCAGGGCGGTCTCTGAGTGTGAACTGGAAGCCTTCCCATGTGGGTCAGCCTCAGGGTATCAAAGGACTTTATAGACTTATATGGGAGGGAACATTAAAAATAATATTCATAAAGTAACATATTCATTTTATATGCCAAATGAAATTTGTAATGACATGAGAAATTGTCATATTAAGTTTTAAAGTATCTTCATAAAGGTCTCAATGTAGTAATTATGTACTAGCCCCATTTTGGAATAACTATCATTGATTCATGATACCAATATTTACTGAGTTTCTACTGATTCCAGCTTGGAATCTATTTTGTAAAAGTGAAATATCATAACCACATCCTCACAAAGTCCTAAAGCACTGGAACTTCTGCTTTATTTTGTTAGTAAATATTGACTATTAAATAATGGTGAAAGTGTTGTTGATGTTCATGTTACATTATTAAGATGGTAAAATTGGCCAGGGTGTGCTAAATATAACATAAAACAAAAAGGTTTTATGTAAAAAGTTATTTTTTCAGGGTTGGGACTGAAAGTATGAAATTTTGAGGTTGAGTTATTAAAGTACAGAGATTCAAGTATAGATAAAATATTGTTATTATTTTTAAATCTTTACTTGTGGTAGAGCAGGTGTATACACATGAGAGAGAGACATGGAGAGAGGTATCTGACACAGGGATTGATCACATTATGATTTCTTCCTCCAGTTTTCCAGCGCATCAGGATCCTGGGCGTGTGGGCAAGCATAAGGCGTGTTTTCAGACTGGCCAGGCAGGACCCTGGTTGTCATGTGGCTTCCAACCCCACAGTCCTGTGTACTATCAACTGAGCCCCAGAGGTTGGGCTAATATTTTTATAATGTTAAATATAGTATTTAGAAAATTTAAAATTCAAATAAGCTAATATCTTATTTCTAAGAAGTATATGTCTTTAATGGAGGGTTGTAACACATTCTTCTCAAAGTTTTGGTTAAATATGAATGTGTAATTTTGGTGACATTTATAGTGTTTAAATTAGTCTACTCTAGAAATATTTTCTAAGCTATGCATAGGAGATACGTGAGTAGTACTAAATATACTTTTTAAAAAAGAATTATTTTATTTAACTTTATTTATTATTACTATTTTCCAGCTTGATCAGAGAGAGAGAGAGAGAGAAAGTGAGAAAGCAAGCCACCAGGTCTGGGACTTGAATAGTGGTCAGCCATGTTGGAGAGTCCAGTGCCTTAACTACCATGCCACCTGCTGATCCCCTAAATACACTTTTTAAAAAAAGATATCACAAAGTATAAATGAATAGCAAAAATTGCTAAAGATATTAAATTTGAGGCAGGCGACAGGGTTTTTCACATTATCTAACATATTTAAATATGTTTAAAATATGTTTTTAGGGACTAACATGTACTTTGTCCATTTTATAACCTAATTTTGCTCAGGTTATTTTCATATGCTTGCTAAAATTTCCAGATACAGAGAAAGCTTCCTCGAGACAGGTAAAGAGATTGTTAGATTCTTCAAAGTATTCAGTATATAAGATATCTTTACTTTAATAGAGCTTCTGTTATGTTTTTGGCATACGGGTCTTAACTTGGATTAACTTTATTTAAAAAAAAAATAGAGTACAATTTCAGTAACTCCTAAATTTGAACCAATTTGTTTTCTTTGTCAATAACATACATAAACAATATTAAATAAGTTATAAAGTTTAATAGTGTGTGGTATTAAAATTTACACATGGCTATAAGGTGCCCAATTAATATCTTCTAAACATAAAAAATAGATTTATATTTAGAAAAATAAAAGCAATCCATATTTAATTACCAAGAAACTAGCAATTCAAAATACAGTGAAGTGACAACCATCTGCAATTTGTCCACCCAAAGAAAATCAATGGTGGGACCAGCAATTAGAGTAATGGCTATGTCGCTGGACTTCCACATAGTTGACCGCGATTCGAGTCCCGGACCCGGTGGCTTAAACTCCACCCAGGCGCGTGTGCATGCGTGCCCAAGATCCCAAGAGGAGAATGGAGGAGAAGGGATTGCAGGGTGGCCATCCCCCTTGGGGGGTGTTTTCTCGCTTTCTATCTCTCTGTCTCTCTCTGGCTTTCTGACGAGTGCACATGCCCTATAGCAAAAACCTCTCAAAAAAAAAAAAAAAAAAAAAAAAAAAAAGACTATCAATGGTTAACCTGTTAGGACATGTCCTCCCAACTTTCTAGTTGACTAGAGCTTTGATTTTTTTTTTTAATGTGCAATTTCTGGACTGTATAAGACTGTTCTGTTTCCTTTGCACATAAATAGTAAATAGACTGGGCATGGAGATCTGATTTTGCAATTATTATTCTCTTGAAACTGCAAATACTTCTCCATTATCTTCAGGTGATGAAGTACAATTTTAGATTATACTAATCACTTCTTTCTTTTGACTCCATT